AAACTGTTTCTTTTTTGTTTTGTTTTCTTTTATACATCATTCTAGCTTTATTATAGTATTTGAATAGAACATGTGGCAACGGGAACGATTAGCTAATTCTATTCTTTAAATGATATAAATTTTGTGCATTATGAGTTATAATATGAACGAAATATAATACTGTTAAGTGAATCTAGCACAAGAGTGTCGCTCTGATAAACAAATACTAGAGTGAATTTTAAAGAATGCATTTTTTTGTTAGCATAAATTTAGGTATTTTGCATAATGAAACTCGAAAGGCATACGAAACGAACGTGCGCCAAGATATATATTGGCAAGAGAAAGTAAAGTTCGTGTGCAATACAAAGCATTCGATTCTCACCTAGCTACTTGTACCTGGCCAAAGGTCTAATGCAGTTAGTACTTTCTTCTCTTTCAGATACGATGGCAAAGTATGTTCGTGTTTATTTTTCTTATTGCCTAATACAGGTAAGCTTGGTGATTTAGGACTGAGGATGATTCTATGTAAGTATCTCCTTTTCAATACTTCAGTGTTTAATGTCGTGAAGATTATTACTTTTTTATGCTTAAGTTAAGCAAAATTATCCTATTTTATTAAATAAAGATTTGGTAGTTAACTTTTGACTTATGATTCTTTAATCTGTGTTGAGGAAAACTTACTCATTACGCCTTCAGTGCTAATGCACAACCAACAAAGATTATTAGAATGATTAAGTTAATAAGCTTAAGAAAATTGCCTTGTAGAAATGGTCTAAAAAAACTGAAATGTGTAAGATTCCAGGGGCATAAAGTGTTAAAAACTCTTTGTTGAAAATGCTAGTTACAAGTTTATAAGAATAATTGTAACAAATAATAATGTCTATTCTAAAAGAATCAATTTGTATAGAAAAGTTACAGATGAAATTATTCAGTGTGGAAATTAAATAGAACAACTTCTAAAAAAGAAGGTTTAGATGATGTTGTATTCGAAGAAAACCGGAAACTGTTACTGATATTTGGTTAAAGATGATCGTAAAGCTAAAGCTTTAAATGTTAAAACATTTCGGTTCGCAATTATCCATGTTTTACATAGTAAATCTGCAAAAGAAGTTTGGCAGAGTTAAATGTGTCCATGAACGTGTAAATTTAACAAATAAGTTATTTCTTCTTACAAAAACATATTCCATTACATATAATGAAAGTTCTAAAATGCAGGAACATATCAAAGGAGTACTAGAATTCGCTGAAAAGCTATGCGTAGTATAGGTGAAGAAATTAAAGAAAATAACTTAATAAGCAATATTAATATGTTCTTTACCAAATTCATACAACCTCATTAATAACCGCAATAGAAAGTAAATCAGAAGCTGAATTATTGCTAGAATATGTGAAAAATAAATTAACAGATGAGTATTACTATATACGTGTGGAAACTAACCAAGTTCAAAAATATGATTCAATTGCTTTGAAAGGTAAAAGAGAAAATAAATCAAAGCATTATGTTACACGATATTGTACTTATTGTAATAGAAATAATCATACGATAAATGACTGTTTTCATTTAAAACGCAATGCTAGAACTTTCCCGAAAACAGATGTAAGTAACAATAAAGTAAAAAATTATTCTCAAATTATAAAAGTAAGGCATGCCAAATAGCAAATACGCAAAAAGTAGAAAACATAACAAAATTATTAAAGAAAAATAAGTACCTTAAAAGTATTGAAACTGAAAATTTGCAGATTCGTTTAATCAAGTTCTAAAAGTGAAAAATAAAAAACATGAAAACACGCAACGCAAGAATGGGTTATCGACGCAGGAGCCTCAACTCATATGGACGAGGATACGACTTTTTTGCTCTCAGTTAAATGACCTAATAAACAAGTATAACTGTAGCGATGGTGTGAAATTAAATTCTTATGGTACTGGTGAAGGCTATTTAAAGTTCAAAACTAAAGGGTCAGGTTAACAAATAAAGTTAAAAAAATGTAATTGTATGTACCAGGTTTAGATGTAATTTACTTTTCTGTTCAATCTGTTACGGCAAACGCTCAGCAAGGTTTATAAATTGACCGTAAACTCAATTGACGAGAAAGCATACTTAGCTAATGATATTCATGTTTCTAATACGAACTGTATACTAAATGACATCAAAGATTAGGCCACAGAAATAAGAGCCATATAAAACACTTGAGAAAATAATTTGGCAGACGGCAATAAACTTGGCAAATGCATCATAGTGTGTGGAATGTTCTACTTGTGTAAAAGCGAAACTAACTGAAAAAAACCTTCCCAAAACTAGTTTTAGATCCAAAAATCCACTGGATTTAAGCACACAGATGTGTGTGGGCCAATTGAAGTCAAACAGCTTAGGAGGGAAAAAGATATTTCATAACTTTCATTGATGACTATTCGCGTTATACTAAATTTTTTTATACGAAAAGTAGTATTCGCAACTAACTATTTGACCAACAATCGTAGGAAAAAAAGGTCTCAGATCCCAGTCAATACTTAACAAAATGAAAATATTAAAAAAACTCGCTTTAATGAAAACGATCTAAAGGCCCGTTTACACTAGCGGAACTTTGGTCCCAAGAAACGTACGCTAACGTTAAGTTGTTACTCCCAAGGATCCCACCCGTTTACACTTGTAAGTCTCAAAGCCTAAGAATTACTACCCCCAACCAATCAAGTCGCTTTGATTTGCGCATGGGCAATATTTCCTATTTTGGGGTACAATGTCGAAAGTTTGCGGTAGAAGTAGAATGTCTAAAGTTAAAAAAGCTGAAGAAAGAAAGCGCGTTATGCATTTGAGAAGTAATTTAATATGTATGTATTTGCTGTACAAAAGCGTTTGTGTTCCAAGGCGGGAATGGGTTCGGTCAATTTTTCAAGAGCGAGATACGTATTCCGCTCATGCAGCATTGTTTCCGTCACTGAGGCAGAAGTACCCAGAATTATTTTTCAATTATACTCGAATGACGGCAAGTTATTTTTATTTTTTAGCAAAACCTGAAAGTAAAAATTGAAGGAAAGACTGTCAAATATTTCTTTTTATATATCAGTAAATTAGTAATTTTTTCCCTTAGTAATTTATACTAAGGAAATAGGATTAATGATTACATTGCGATTTAATTACCGACAAAATGAATTATTTCAATGTTTATTTTGGTTAATCTTTGTATTATGGTAACTCGGCGATTTTTTTGGCGACCAACCCTGCTACAGCAACCTGCTAGTTTTTTTTTTTTTGGGGGGGGGACGCCATTTTGTTTTCACGAAGTAAAGGCTTTTTTTTTTTTAACTCAACATTTTTTTTTTTTTTTTTTTTTTTACTCAACATTTTTTCCAACAATCTGCTAGCCGAATTACGCTTATGCTAGAACTTTTATGAAACAAAAGTGCTTAATCATGACGAAGGTTAGGTGCGAAATTGGGAGAAAGTGCAGAATCGCCCACTGCTTGCCGCGTTTTTAAGAATTGCACATACACGGTATGATCCATGTACACGTCGACCTATTTTCACTTGAAAAAAACATCTCAGAATTGCACAAAAAATGGCATTGCGCACACTCTTGACTTTATCCATGTACACTGCTAAAGTCCTAGCTAGTAACCTTTATCGCCTTACCAAAATGTCGCCAAACTACCTGTTACCATATTCCAAAGATTAGCCTTTATTTTTTATATAATTATGGACTAGCATTAGTTATAACTAATTAGTTTAATTGGTTTATTAAGCGCATTATTAATGAAGGTTGTTTATAATTCGATTACCTTAATGAAACATAATATCAGATGGAGTATAATGTAAAATTACTAGATGTGCCAGATGTTGGACAGTCAACATTTTAATGCACTATCGTGTATTAGGATATGTTCCTCTGTTAGAAAATACCCAGCATTCTGTATCCGTAGATTTTTTAATTATTACTGTCATGAATTTTATTAGTATTGCTTCACTTTGTCATGAAAATACTTTTGTAGAACCAGAAATATAAAATAATTAGGCTTTTAAATAATATATTCTAGAGAATTTGGGAGATCCATAAAAAGACTTGCTTTTAAAAGATTTTCTGCATTCCTGTTCCACCTGTGTTTTATATTTGACAAATGAGCAATAAAATTAAATCATGTCAATATTTTAAAAAATCATTTTTGGAGAATATTGTAGTAATATGATGAAAAACACTTTACCTCCAAAAGAATGTAAGAATAATTGTATCAAAATAGATTATTTAATGAAATTCTACTACCTGAAAAATTAAGCAATTATTAGAGTATAAGAGTGAAATTGAAATGGAGAGTAATTTTCCTTTTAATCAGAATTATCATATTTTATTTTTTCAAATTTGTAAGATAAATAACTGAATATTTTTCACTGATCATAGTTGCAGCAACACAGTATATATTTCGGCAATATAGTATATAGTGATGCCCCTCATGTTGAGCACCTTCAATAGTCAAAAGTATTCCTGAGAATATAAACAAACATTGGTAATGACAATCACAGATAACCATATTCTCTGAAGGTTGCTATAATATCCGTCGGTGGCTAAATAAATAAAAACACTGAACATTAATTGTTCAATACCTGATGAAAGGGTTTAGAACATAGGCATTTTGTGCATATCTGTCCAAGATATGAATGTAAATTAGTTTACCTTAAAAAATCTTCCTGATGACATTATTTAGGTTAGTAGGGTTACCTTTAGGCAGGTAACCCTAGTGTGTGGTGCATAATCAAATAATCATGTTGAAGTAATCACCTTCACAGAAGGCTGAAATCATTTCTAATTATGGAGTTTATGTTATTTTTGTTAATAACATGCGAGTAATCGCTAAAAGTGTTAATTGTTAGAAATAGTAAGATTATACTTCAAGCAATTTTTCAAGACAACAAAATTATTTTCTCTTACTTTGGCTAATCATTTTAGCACAATATAAACTATTTTGTATTTGTTTTTATATTAATTAGATAATTAAATATAGTTCTGATGTTCAATTTACTAATAAGTATAATATTATTGAATTTACATGTAGGGAGAACAATATGATCATCTTCTACATTTACTGCAAGATAAACTACAGAAGCAAGAAACACGTTTTAGGAAATCAATTTCAGCGTCTGAGAGACTTGCCATCTGTTTAAGGTAAATATAAATATATACATTTGTTTTGAAAGCAGTGTCGACGCTAGACAATTTACCGCCTGGTGCAAACTCCACAAATCCGAAATTCTGCCACCCGATTCCTTCCTAAATTCTAATAATTTTGCCATCTGGTGTGGTCACACTGGTTGCATATGCTCTGGCACCAGCTCTATTTGAAAGTCTTTATTACATCTAATTCCAGTTTTGTGTAGTATGTATAATTGAAAATTAATGTTCTTGTCAGAACATTTTATACTTCTGTCTAATTGAACTTTTTAAAATTCATATTTTTTTTTAAATTTGTAATGCATTTAAAAAATTATGAATAGGAACATAATTTTATCAAAATAAGTTACATAAATAAAGCATTTATTTTCTGTGGTTTAATAATAAGAAAGAAAATTGCAATCTCTTTGAAACTGACCCCCCCCCCAAAAAAAGAACCTTTTTTAAAACTTGCATACTGCTACAGATTGCCCTTTGTTCATTTTTATACAACATGTTTTTAAAACTGCAAAAATTTAATTATTGATTCAGAATGTTTTTGTAGATTTCTAGCATCTGGAACTAATTATACAGACCTGGCATACACTTTCCGTGTTTCTAAATCTTCAGTTTCACATATTATTCGAGAGACCTGTGATGTCATATGGCAAGTCTTACAGCCACTGGTTATGGCTATACCAGCATCATCAGATGAATGGGCTGTAATAGCAGAAGGTTTTGAATATAAATGGAATTTTCCCAACTGTGTTGGTGCAATCGATGGTATGTATTATGTCTTGCATTCCATATTTATTTGTCAGTGAGTACTTTTGAAATACAAAAATTGCATTATATTAAAATTAGGCAAATGAAGATTCTTTTCAAAGATAAATATAAAATATTGCAGAATCATCTAACTTGATATATGAGCTGTCTTAAAATATCAAAAGACTGGAATTGTTTCATAATAAATAAATGAAAGTGTGAAATGAAAAAACAAATTTTAATATAAAAAGGAATTTTTTTGCAAGTTTCTAATTTAAGAACTGAATTTATTATTGAAAACAGTATTTATATTAATTTTTATCATTAAAGTGTATATTATTTTTCTTTAGGCAATTGATAATTGTTGCTTTTCTTTTTATGTAGGTAAGCATATCAGAATACAAGCTCCACCGTCAGCTGAATCAACATATTATAATTATAAGGGCTATAACAGCATAGTCCTAATGGCAGTGGCAGATGCTAGTTACACTTTCCTTTATGTTGATTCAGGCAACTATGGACGCATCAGTGATGGTGGAATTTTCAGTAACTGTTCACTAGGTAAAGCTTTGGTTAGTGAAACTTTGTTTTCATTGCCAAATCCAACACCATTATTAAATAGTGATCGAGTTTTGCCTTTTGTATTTGTTGGAGATGAGGCTTTTCCACTCAGGAAAAATATTTTACGCCCTTATCCTGGCAAATTTCTGTCGAATGAAAGAAAAATTTTTTAATTACAGACTTTCTCAAGGAAGGAGGTGCGTTGAAATGAAAATGCTTTCGACATATTGGCGTCTAGGTGGAGAGTACTTCGTACTGAAATTGCCCTGAACCCAGAGCATGCTAATAAAGTAGTTTTGGCATGCTGTTGCCTTCATAATTACTTAATGAAAAATGAGTTGGGAAAGGCAGCTAAGAAATACTGTCCAGTGAACTTTGCTGATTCTCTTCTTTCAAATGCCACCATTAAAGAAGGTATGTGGAGAACAGAAGAATTTACATGGCAACCTCTTGGCCGTCTAGGGGCCAATAATTCATCCCGTGCTGCATCTGCAGTTCGAGATAATTTTTGTGAATATTTTTCTGCAGAAGGAGCAGTACCATGGCAAGAAAGGAAAGCATTTATTGTGTAAATTTATTTTTTGAAAATATTTATGAAATATGTAAATAAAACAATAAAACAACTGATTAGTGTTATGTACAAATAATTTCATTTATTTCTTGCCATAATTTGTAAAAATTGTATTTTCGTTTCCAATTTTTTTTCATCAGTCATTTTTTTCAAATCACTATGGAGACTCAATAAAAATAGTTTATCATCATCATCATCATCATTTTCACATCGATGGTGATTTTTTAAATATTTATTTGTTTCATCAATAACAGAAAGCAATGAACTTTCAATTGTTTCTCTCTTTTTTCTTTTCTTCCCTCTAGGAGTATTTTCATCATTATTATTTGAATTAGTGTTATCTAAGATTTGTCTGGAGCTTGATGCAGGTGATAAAGGTGATTCACATGAGGGCATAACGTGAATAGCAGATGGCTCCACATATTCAGGTTCTGTCGGATATTCAATATTATCTGAAGACTCGGAGACAACAGATTCTACTGTGAAATTAAGCTCCTCGAATTCTTTGTTTCCTTGAAAGTTTGTCTGTGTCCTGTTTAGAAAGAAAACAAGGAAAAAAAAATCAAATGCATATGAAAAATATTTTTAATACATTAATGATTATTTTGTGATACAAAGTAATTAGGTAGTGAAATAAGCAAATTTAGAATCTTATTTGTTACTGCATTAAATAGCTCATTTTTTAATTTCTATTACTTATGAACTGCAGACAATTTAAATAGATCTTAAAATTTAGCATGAAAAATAATGTAAACCAAGAGTCTTCTTGCTTCAGTGTGATTACCTGAAACTAAAAAGCTTTTTTTGTTAATTTGAATTATAACATCCCATTGGATTCTTTTCTTACATAATCTTTTGTGTTTATTAATATTTGCAAGAATAATTTCTAAAAAAATACAGTTTGTTACATCCAGTTGTATGGGGTAATTCCTAGTCATTACGTTCTTGGAGCAGTGCTGGATCACATTTTGCTTTTTAATTAAAATAATATTTTATCAAATATGGGGAGGGGTGAAATCATCATCACTCTTTGAATCTTTTGTACTGCAATATACAACCAAATTGTCATATTTACTCACTAATAATTTTATCGTACAAATATGGAGAAGGCAAAATGACATGAATAATTTATTTTCCGAAGTATGGTGCAAAATAAATAAGGTGTATTAGATACATTTAATTAAATTACATACATTACTGCAATAATTTATTATATGCATTAAATCTGTCATTGTATTAACAAGGGCTGAAATTTAAAATATTCTTAATTTATCCACAAAAATATCCGGATAAAAAAAAAGGCAGCACTAAACAATCTCGTGAAATAACAAAGCTCAGAAAATACAACAACGTGAATCATGAACTTGAACAAAGAGTGAATCGTCTATTGAACTTGAACAAAGAGTGAATCGTGAACTGAACAAAGAGTGAATCGTCTGCTTTTTTACCTCGATGCAGATTAGAAGGAAAAAAACTTATCTTTTTTCTTAAACTTTTTATGTCAATAATTTTGTATTTCCATTATGACTCATTATTATTCAGTTATTATGACGTCATTATTCGGTAAGTATTTTTTCTTCGATATTTCGTACTCAATGTTGCGGTTTCCGAAACCAAGAAACTCAGAATATAAACTGAATGCTTATATTCTGAGAGGCAACGCAGATTTCAGGAGTTGGCGGATTTTCGGTATTTGACTGTATTTGTAGACATTAAGACGAAAAAATGGAACAGATTATTGGACGTGGAATCGCATCTCAGATTAAAATTATGACAATCTGTCATCTCAGCACAAACAGTTTCATCCTTCTCATTAATCCAAATAAATGTTATTTATAATGTAACATTTATTTATATTAATGCCATAGAAAATCAAATTTATAGTAGTGAAGATCAGCGGGATTATGAGTTAAATAACATGGATGTAAATATTACTATTGGAGGCTGCAATTTAACAGTTGTGATGACAGTAGTGTTTTTGACAGTAACAATAATGTAGTATGCCCTAAATAGAGATTACTTTAAATGACTTATAAAGAGTATAGTAATTATAAAGTATATAGTATATATAGTAATTATAAAGAAATCAATATTTTAGATGAAAAAGAAGAATCTCTTGCCTTCATTGAAGAAAATTTTGAATATGCATACAAAGCCCTTACGTAATAAATGAAAATATTGAGCCACTAATAACTCTTATTTCTTTTTATAGAAACACAATCACAAGAGAATTTTATCAAATTTTTTGTATCTTACAGTTTAAGACAAATTTTATCTAATCTTGGCTTACACATTTCACATTCTATAAATAAAAAAAGATCACTATACTTTGGAGACTGTTTTGAAAAATTTCATGCCATGAAAGATTTTAACAGTTAATTCAGTAATAAAGTATTACAACTTCATTTTTTAATTCAGTTTCATATATATTTTTGTATTTATTTTCATTATGAATTAATGTAATAATTTAAGCACAACTCCTTGATCTGATGGTATATATTATGATAATTAATCCCAGGCTTTATGTGTTAAGTGCAAAGTAACTTCATAAAATTAAAGCAGGTATGCATAATCTCAAACACTAACTTCTGAACATCAAAATGGTCAGTAACACATCAGTTTTGAGCTGTGTGAGTACAGAAATATGGGCATCAACTATAGAGGGATAAACTATAAAAAGAAATTGGCCACAAAAAGAAAAAAATATATATACAGACGAGTCTTCATCAAAATATTTAGAAACTCAGCTTTCAAAGGAAAGAGCAAGTGCTTTGTTTATATTATGCATATGCTGTACTTTGTTAATAAGTTTACATTGCAAAAATATTGGCCTATTTTTAATTGGGAAGATTAAAAAAGTACAGAACAGCAAAGTTTCTACAACATTTTTTATGGGTAAGAACTTCAGTTGGCCCAAACACGTTAGAAAAAAACTATAATGTGTAATACAGTTTTATTATAACACATTTACAAGGTGTTAAACCATTCATAACGAGTGATGAGGCAATAAATGGTAAAAAAAAAATTCTGTAGGAGAAGTTTTTGTTTTCCAGAGCATAAATATTTGGATAGAATTTGAGTTATGGCAAAGCATATAAGGTCTATCTGCCTAAGGGGAGGAATTTCTTAAGTAAATTGGTTTATATCCACATATGTGACTATCTAACATATTTAATAAATTTATATCAATAAAGTTACAATTTTTGATTGCTAGTCAACCTAGGATAACTCCAAATAATCCATTTATGCTTTATAATATTACAGACTACTAACAAGTAAGATTGTATTTTGTTAATATGAAAATTTATCATTTTATATTTAACATAACTAAATAATTTGGTTCTGAATATTTACCTTCGATGGCGGATACATGGATCCAAAAATGACATTTGGGGCATCAGATGCCATTGCTGCTCTGCAGACTCTGCACTAGCTCCACTTTTGCATTTTGTTTTTCTTCGGCTATATTGCTTACGCAGATTCTGCCACCGGTAAGTAACCTCTTCAACTGTGAAATTTAAAAAAAATATAGCCGAAATTTTAATTCAACCACTGTAATTAATTACTGTTTAATTATTAATACTTTATGCAAACAATTATATTAATTATATGAGATTCAAAATGTATCCATACGAAAATGAAATATGGATCTTATATATTTTTATATATGGATATTTATATATTTAGGGATTTTTTATGTATTTCGGAATAAACATTTGCATGAGAAATGAAGAAAATGTATTTCTGAAAATTGAGGAGGAAAACTTTAATCAAATTTTTACTACTGTTGATCTTCACACTTACTACTTTTACTTTCTTCTTCTCATAAGCCTTCAGTAACATGTTGCAAAAAAGAAGAGCAAACTAATGTAAAGACAATAGCTAAAATTATGTAATCATCTTGAATTGCTATAATTTGGGAAAAATTTTAAATATATATAATTGAAGGTTGCTGCATATAATTTTCATAGAACAGTGTACATTTAGATACAGTTTAAAGCAGTTAATAAACTTTAATTTTCTGAGCTTTCTTCTTCCATCTACTGAGCTTATTTAAATTTTATAAAACTCAGATTTTCAGAAATGTTCCAAAATGCTATAATTTAATATATGTCAACAAATTTTTATCGTGTAATCGTTAAATAAACCTATTTTGTACTTGAACAATTGCGTTAGTCGAAAGAGAACTAGAATAAAAGAGAGCACATTGCAATCCAAAAGGAGCAAAAAAATAAATAAATGGATACATACCATCTCGGTTCAGTCTTTCGGCAACCAGTAGCCAAGCAACGTCTTGTCCTCTTTTCATTCGATATTCTTTTTTTCTATTATCCCATAAAATCGGATGTTGTTTGTACTTCTGCAATTAATTTGCAGTCAGACGTAGTCAAATCTTCCGCCATGTTTTTCGCTTAAAGCATCATCACACAAAACCCTCGTGATAGTTTGTACGTCTGTGATTGGCCAAAGCTTTCATCTCATAGGTTCGGAGTTAAAATTTTCCATCTCTTGGGTTTACGTCAATTCCCTTTGAAGATTAACCGCTCGACTTAGGTTACGTTTCTTAGGACGTTAGCTTACGCTTCTTGGGACCAAAGTTCCGCTAGTGTAAACGGGCCTTAAGCGAACAGAAATCGAAAATTCGAATATTAAAATAACACACATAAAATATGAAATCTACTCACGTAACAAATTATAAATAAAGTAAAAAGACAGATTCTAATATGATGAAAAGTTTCCAATCGTAGCACTCCAGTGCCAACACCTTCTACAGAAGCCCAACTACGAGATCGTGAAGTCACAAACTGGCGGCTGACAATCGCCGTTGGTCACCTACTATCTGCCTTTAAAGTATATATGTTTTTAGTAACAGGAGTAGTAACAGGAGTGTCTTTAGTAACAGGAGAGTATTTTCTAATGATGTAGATACATATTATTTTTCGTTTTTTATTTTATATATATTGAAAATTCGAATCGAAAATTCGAATATAATGATGCAACTAGTTTTCCAATCAGTAGCACTCCAGTGCTCTTTCCGACAAGCAAGAATGTTGAATCCAAAGGAAGACTTCCTTCATTAGATGCAAAATTTGTGGAAATTTATTTCAAAATATTTCGAACTTTTTGAAGTACTTTGAAACACACAACAATTAGCATTATCTTCTTCTTGTACGCCATTTCAAAATATTCACTTTTATATTACGTGAGAAAAGGATGTCAGAATTTGAGTCAACAGTTCGCTAATCGCTTTCAGCAATAGTAAGCGAACTACGCTGCTCATCTCACCGCTATTTTGATTTAGCGATCTTGCTACTAAAGGATGGATATTTCGCTACAGACGCAAATTATCCGATTTTGCTACAATTCCGAAGAATATCCTCAAGTAATTTTAAGTATTTGAGTGAGCTTATCGTTGTTTTCTCTATGCACAACCTGAATCTGTGCGCTTTTCACAAGTAGCACTCTGAAGTATAGCTCATATACTTGAGAGTGCTCCAATAAAGCAGTGCTTTATTGAGCAAATGCCTAAATAACAGCAATCAGAACTTATAATATATCGTTTATCTCTATTTTTATGCTAATATTAAACTAATGCTTTTGAAGAAAAAGAGCGGAAAAATAAAGAGTTCTTGCTTTTGTGAGCGTCATCTGGCGGTAACTCTTCTAAGACCAACTTTTTTATAATAAGTTCGCTACTGTGGTTCGAGTGAATGTGATCTCTGACGGGATTAAACATCTCAAGGTGAGAAATGTTTATGGTTAAAAAAATGCTATAGAGCTACTATACTTTCGTGAATTTGCGTATTTTAAAGATTTTATTTTATGTTTATTCCCATTACTTTTAGCAACCATGCCTTTCACTGAGGATTTTTACCTCCCGTCTGAGGAAGAATTAAAAGTACAAGAAATTAATATATCTACTCCTTTTTTAAAAGCGGGAGCTATTCATTTTGGAAAATACTGTGATCATCAGTGTAAAGTAAGTAATGTACATATATATTTGCTTTTCAGTATTTATTGATAAGACATTACTTATGGAAACGATGTATGTGTATGTCTACAAAATTTAATTAAAAATACGCTTTTTTTCTGTATGTAAGTGTAAATAAAGAAAAACCTCTCGAAACCTATTCTGTTTTTTAGATGAAATTTTTCATGTTTGATATGGATAAGATGTATATACATACTAAAAAATTAAACCGAGATGTGCATGTTAAGTAATGGAAGCTCTTCCGCAAAGGATCCGTTAAATGTAAACATTGCTAAAAATGGCGATAAAAGTTCAAAGCTGGCAACCCGGCGAATTGAGACAAATCCCCGTGAAGATAACTTATTAACATCTATTTACATCTAACATCTATTATTATATTAACATCTATTTCAGGCGGCTTTGATTGAGCAACCTGGTTCTACGCTTGCCTTGGACAAAGAATATTTCTCGTCTGTTCGGGGCTCCTTGGCGGGGGTGAATGATAATTGATAACACGGCTGTTTAGAATAGTATGGCTGTGTTCTTACGTAATTTTAAGAAACACTCAGAACCATAGGGCTCCTAAAATCTCCGTGGGCCGCAATAATATATGTTTTTAATAATTAAGTTTTTATTTTTATTACTGTTATTTTTACCTAAAATAATGAGAATTAAATCAGTTTTCGTGATTAAAAATTTGATATTTTTAATACATTTTAACAATTACTTTACACAGGATGCTAGGTGTTTATATACAATAGATGATTTAGAATGAAATAAAAATTATTGGTTCTCTGAGATGACAGGGTCATCAAAGTTAGTAAACCCTGCTTTGAGTAATTAAAGTTTGAATGAATCTTGAAAGATAACAAGATGTATAATGTTTCTTCTAGTTTTATTTACAATGCTACTTTAAAAGATTTGAATATTATTAAAGATTCTTGGCATAGTCATATTTATTATGAAAAAGGCAGTTGTTTCAAAATAAAATATTTAAGCTATCAGCAAGTAAATTCAAAAAAACAACTTGCATTGAAAAATTGCTCGTGTAAAATTAATGTTTTAAATGTATTATTTAGTAATGAATATGTTTCATTTGTATGACATTTAATTGCTACGCTAGTTCTCGTGTTACATAATTTAACAGCGCGCGTCCTCCCAGGTTAATTATACACCGCTAAATGTCCTTATTAACCTATTTATTTTACTTCTGTATGCTAAATATCTTATAACTTAACTGTACACCGCTAAAATCATTGCTTCCTTATGAGAAAAGCCTTTGGCGAGCTTGGCGAATAAATACGCACTGGCGCCAACGGATCCTTTGCGGAAGAAAAATCCTTTGTGGATCCTTTGCAAAACTAAGAGCCTAAACAACCATATTAAGTACCTTAAAGAAATAGGACACAAGGAAATTTTGGCAGTATGTTGCATATTAGTACATAAAAGTGAGTGGGTTTTGTTGGAAATTGTTTCACATTCCCTAATTTAAGTACAAGGCAACATATTCAGTATTTAAAATGCAGTAAATTAAGTTATATTATACTTTGTATTCAAAAAACTGAGTTAGTTGTCTACTTAGTTGTTAATTAAATTTCAGAATGTTTGTTGAAAAAAATGCAATAAATGAAAGATTTTTGTCATAGTTATTAATTTACCAAATAGCAGATTGTAATGTTAAGTTCTTTTCCTTGTGGGAAAAGTTTTAAACTGTGAAGGATATGATTTTAGTTCTTGAGGCTTTGGTTTATTCATATTTTAATACAAGAAAAAGAGTGGGAGGAAAGTATGATCCAAATAAACCTATGTATTCTTTAGTTGAGAGTATTCCATGCTAATCTGGTTTGGTTGCTAGGAAAGGTTCTTTGCAAAGGGAAAAAAAAAAAAAAAAATTTCAAATAGCTACCTGGTAAAATTAAAATGTGACTCGAGTCCAAAGTAGCCTTTGCATATGCCATGAAGAAGGTGTTTAAACAGAAACATGATTTCTTAGATAATAGATTTGTGTCATTCTAGCCCTATTATTTATTTACTTGTTTACTAATATGTCAAGAGTTAGCATCTATTGAGCTTTGCAAATCAAAGCTTGATTCAAATTAATCACAACACATTGTTTGAATGGAATAATTATGTAAGTGAGGTAAGTGTCAATTTCTTATCTCTTCCTAATGCTTAATCAATAAATGCAATAAAATTGTAGAAATAAATCCTTATTAAAAAAAAGTAGACTGTATTCTTCACTCCATAATGGATTTTGAAATAGATTTTTTTTCCCTGTTTCCAGTTGTTTTACTTCATTTTATATTTAGCCAAAGGTGTGGAGAAAGAAATTAGCCAGTTGGGACCGAAAGACAGGAAAGTACCATTTTTTCTAGATGACTTAGTTCACAGTGTCAGTTTAGTGATTGTATTTGAGAATTTTTTATAGAAAATCTCAAATTCAGTTCTTAAGAATTTTTTCTGATTAATCTTCGGATTATGATAACTTGGCGAAAATTTGGCGACCAACCCTGCTACAGCAACCTGCTAGTTTTTCTTTGGACACCATTTTGTTTTCACGAAGTAAAGGCTTTTTTTTTTTTTTTTTTTTTTTTTTTTTTTTTTTTTACTCAACATTTTTTTCCAGCAATCTGCTAGCCGAATTACGCTTATGCTAGAACTTTATGGAACAAAAGTGCTTAATCATGACAAAGATTATGTGCGAAATTGTGAGAAAGTGCAGAATCGCCCACTGCTTGCTGCGTTTTTAAGAATTGCACATACACGGTATCATCCATGTACACGTCGACCTATTTTCACTTAAAAAAATCCCAAAATTGCACAAAAATGGCATTGCGCTCTTGACTTTATCCATGTACACTGCTAAAGTCCTAGCTAGTACCTTTATCGCCTTACCAAAATGTCGCCAGATTACCTGTTACCATATTCCAAAGATTAGCCTTTTTTCTTTATATTTTGAAATTTCTAATTGTGAATTAGCTGAAAAATTCTAATTTCTAAAACCTGTAAGTCATGTTTTTTTCCTCCAAACTTTGCTTTGTCATTCAGTTCTCAAAAACAGATGCTAATATACTTGTGGAGAAAATTATCTAACATGTACAACATAGATTAGAAATTTAATTATTTAACATGTACGAGAGCAGTCTGTTAAGACTGATGGAAGGGCTATAACAGGGAGTAACTTAAGTTGGTTGCAGTCACTTTACTGTGAACCATAAGTACAGTTTTTAGATTCAACAATGGGTGTTCACTACCAAAATGTGAAAGAATGTAAAGTTTAGCCAAGTGGCATAATAAAAAAACAATGGAGCATGATGTCTCAGAATTTATGTGGGGAAAGTACATATGAAAAAATGTTTTTTATGAATTGTTGGAAATATGGCCTTGTCATAATGATTATTAAAAATGTTTGTAGGAAACAGCTTCTGAATATTATTGTTAGGAAACAGCATGTGAATATTATTGTTATTATTGTTTATTTTTATCTTCACACTTCATGAGCTGGTGAGTTATCTAGGTTGATTAGTGGCTCGTTCTCAGGGAGCTGCTGTAATAAAGAAGTGTAAAAAATTATTTGGAATGATATTGAACAGTTTAAAAGAGGGCAAAACAAGAACATATTTTTTTTCAAGGTCTGCAGTTTTATAAGCCTTGTCTTCCCTAATGTTCATGTCATCAACTATCATTCAAAGAGAGACAAATGAGAATTTTTTACTTAAGTTTTTGTGTTATATTAGAATTTCCACTTTATTCAATTTATCTTCTGGATTTTAAATTTCAAGTGAGTTCTTGGTGCTTTTGGTTTTTCAGTAGTGAAAATTGCATGATCTTTTACTGTTCTTTCCTTTCTTGGTAAAAGGCAAGTTGTTGTATCTGAAACTTAAAAGTTGTCATATGTTCTAACCAGTATCACACATATTTCAAAATGTTTATTAACGTTCAATAATTTGAAATCTATAGAAGCTATTTAGTTTTATAAACACAATAAAAATTGATGTGGAGGTAGATTTATAGTTTTTGTTTCATTGTTAGGAATTTATGCTATGTCGTACAGAAGAGAATGATCCAAGAAGATGTTTGAAAGAAGGTAAAGATCTTACAGCTTGTGGAATTGAGTATTTTCAGAAAGTAAAACAGAGCTGTAGAGCAGAGCTTGAACAATATGCGGCTTGCTTGGAATGGAACAGTCCGCAGATGAATGTGCAATAGTGAGTATAAAGAGAAATGTTAGATGTATAATATAAAAAAGTTTGGTACTATTCTGTTTTGAGGACCGTAAAAAAATTGCAGTGAAAATGTATGCGCAAAAGTGCCAAATCTAGCAAACGTGCCCGTTTAACGGCACGCCAAATTTAGCATATGTGCTGATTTCAGATTGCGTAAGTTTATATAGTTCTATATTTCTTAAGATGCCATTGAAATACTACTTTAATTTTTAAATCCTTTTTTGTTATCCTATGGATAGATATTTGTTAGGATAACAAAAGAGTGATTAGCTGAAAAATTCTAATTTCTAAAACCTGTAAGTCATGTTTTTTTCCTCCAAACTTTGCTTTGTCATTCAGTTCTGAAAAACAGATGCTATGGATTTTGTTTATCCTATATTATCCTTTAACACTTTGGGAATTGCCCATGATGAAAAGTCTGCAGTTGAATTTTGGGTGAAGTGCAGAATCACCCACTGCTTGACGCGTTTTAAGAATTGCACATCCTCAGTATTCATGTACACATTGACCTATTTTCACTTAAAAAAAAATCCCAGAATTGCACAAAAATGGCACTGCGCACACCCTTAAATTTATCTATGTACACATCGACCTATTTTCACTTAAAAAGTAAAGGAAAATTGAGAAAAATCCAATTGTTTTTACCCTTGTAAAAAGCAGCAAACAAATAAGTGGATGATTCTGCACTTTACCGAGAATTTTTTCAAAGAAAAGGCATCATTCATTATAGAAAATTATGTTTGAACAGCCAATGAGATAAAATTATGCTTTAGTGAACTCGGTAGCGAAATAGTAATACAGGCATCCATTCAGTTATGTTTAGCAATTTTTATATAAATTACAGTCAAAAGTCTTTAATCCGGACTCGTTGGGACTTCGGCGATTCCGGATTATCAGTTTTTCTGGATTATAGATCATCAATTTAAATCTGATAGGATGGCATGCAGAAATTATAAAATAAAAAATATGAAACCGTAATTTATGAAATAAAGAGCAATTATGATCTAAAGGGTATCAAAATTTACAACAACAACAAAAGCTTAATATTTATTTGTTTACTTTATTAAACATTTCTTTCAACGTGTGCATGCGTAAAGCATGCATTACGCATAGTCGAAATTAGAAAATTGCAACCAGAAAACTATTTGATGTGTATTCGTGATATTTATAATGACTAGGAATTTGATTTAAATCATATCAAAGATGGAGTACATCGAGATGAAATACTACATTTAGGAAGGAATTATAAGCCGAATAAAATAAAAACATCTGCGCTGAAGGTAAGGATAGTGCTGACAGATCAACTTCCAGTTCATTGCGTGCCGCGACGTCCCCCCCCCCCCGTGCTGAGCAGCGTATAATTGATAAACAGATTTCGGAATAGTTAGAGAAACAAAGGATATGCCTTTAGCCATTTTTGCAGCAATTCCACTTTTTGTTTGATGGACATCGAAACTTGCTTTGGCTTTGTAGATCCTTTGGCAGCTCCAGAATCGGAAATTCTTTTTGACATAATCGAAAATTCAAGCTTAGTTTTATAAAATTTCTCTAAATATTATACATTAAGCACACATGCGTAAACGTATTATGCGCATGCGTAAAGGTATTATGCGTTTACGCATGCACAGAAAGTTTGTAGCTTTGAGGTCCGGATTATAGATCATTCCGGATTACGGACGTCCGGATTAAAGACTTTTGACTGTATAATAATGATCTGAATGGTTATTTAATCTTATGCCGTATTCCGGATTATCGATTCAGTCATGTTTAGCCGTTTTTACATAAATTATAATAATAAAAAGTATATGAAATTAACCTTTCATCTAGGATTTAAACATCAATCTTAGATAGTTATTTACTATTATACTTCCTTTCTTGCATTAGGGTTGCCGTAATTATTTTTGACTGCACTGGCATCAACAATAATTTGGCGATTTTTTTACGACCCTCAAAACCGAATAGTACCAAAAGTTTTATTATTATTAATTGATTATCACTATAAGAAATGTATAAAAATTCTTTTTACAGCTTTCATGCAATACTATTAGGCAAAAAAATTTTAGATTTTATAATTGCAAGAAATGTAATATTTTTAATATGTTCCTTATAATCTTTGTATGTTTTATGGAAAATTCAAAATTGTCATCTGTTTAATTTCTGATGAAATATGTAGTAAAACTTTGTCAGATATCTACATTGTAATGAGTATTTTGCTATGAATATTGTGTGATGTTCATGGGAGAAAGAGAAATAGGGTAAATTAGGAAAACTTTTAATTACTATTTTAATTTGATTTATTGTTATTTTAAAATCTGAAGTGAAACAGGTACAATACAGTAACTCTACTATTAACATATATCACTTTGCTGCACCCTCCTTGTGTCTGAGGGTTAATTCATGTGATTTAAAAATTGAAAATAACAAAGGTAAAAAGTAATTTTAGGAAACTGACAATAGATATTCACTATGTTGAATATACTGGGAATATTGATATTGCATGTAAAACCTACGTATTTGTATAATCACACATTTATTTAAAAATGCCATTAAGAAGTATTTAACAGAAAATAAAACAGGTTGATTAATTTTGAGTTAATTTCATGTCTTTTAGTTATAATTTTTAAGTTGTGAGAAATGTGCTAATTTATGAGGGTGATGTGAGGGGCGCATCCCAGCTCTCCTGGCAGACTTTACGTTGCCCTAAGGTCTTTTTGCAGGCTGCACCACAGCAAGCCAGAAACAACAACTCCAACAAAACAACACAAAAATTAGAAAACATAACAAAAAAGAAATCATAAGATATAACCAGAATATAACCAGAAGGTACTAGTATATAGACCTCTGGGTTTTTTTTATATTTCACGCACTGATAAAGGAAAGAGGAGGGGAAAAAGAATAAAGCAAAGTGTTAAGAACTAAACTAAAATAATAGAAAAACACTCAAAACACTAGCACCCACATGCAAACTAGCATATTATGCCTATTTTAACTCTATTTTGACCTGTTCTTGCCATAATTTTCTCTGCAATTCATTTCACTGCTACACTATTGTAATGAATGTTTTATAGTCCTTGTATATCTCTAGTGATGGCACACTCTTGAACAAAAATCATGAGCATCTCCAGTCACATTGCATAACTTACATTTAACATTTTCTTGAAGCCCAAACCTATTAAAATAATAGGGAGATCTTCCATGGCTGCTTATAATTTGACTGACTTCTATTCTTGAGATAGGTTTTGTATTTCTTTTAATTTTAAAACTATGCATAAAATCTTTTCTGTTTATAGAGTCCTACCATAGCATATTTCAGTTCTTGTAGAAATTATTTAGCATAATTCATATGGTCTTTCTTCTGGCATCCGATATTTCCGTTTTTGAAGTGTTAGTCTGTATAGTCACTTCTTTCTTTAGCAAGGACATCTGCTCTCTCATTTCCTAAGTGCCAAACATGTGCTGTAATTCAGTTAAGTCTAATTTCATATTTCTTAAGAAGGCTTGTGTATAGTTGTTTGGTCACATGAATAAAAAAATTTGGCTGGTCCGGGTTAGAGAGGGCTTGTAAAACCAAGAGACAATCAGAATAGATAGTAATTTTCTCATTATAGGTTATCTTTTTTGCACCCACTGCAGTGCTTTAAAAATTGCAAAAAGTTCTTGAAAAATAGTTACAACTTTCCAATTTAAATTTTTTACTGTGTATTTCAATACCACAATAATAAGCGACAAAAGCACCTTCTAATTTCTCCCCAATCCCAGACTCATCAGTGTAAATATCAAGCTCATTCTTTTTTGGCTCAGTCCTATAGTATACTGATGGTATTCTGTTCTTAGGATGAAATAAGTTCACATCTAGGGTTTTAAAAGTTCAACTAGTAATGGCATAGTTCTCAGTCATGTGTATCTGCCAGTCGTTAATAGAATTTTTTTTTAGTAAAATCATATTGTAGTAAGAGGGGTGGAATGCCAGCTAACACGCATGCCACCTCCTTAGGAGTAGTTCTAAATAATTGCCCTGTGATGGCCAGCTTCTCTGGATGGAATCTAATTTTGTTCTAATCTGCTGCACCTCTGATGTTCTAGTTTTCTAAGCACCAGTATAGTAGAATATAATTTGTAAAATCATGTTATTAAATATCTTTCATAATGTGGTGTTATTTTGAGCCAGACTTTCACCATGGAAGCTCCTCTTATAAAACTGCAGAATCGGATCACTTTTCCTAGGTATATATTTAAAATGTTTAACAAAAGTCAGTGTATTATCAAAACATATCCCCAAACATTTTGAATCCTTAATTAGTTCAAATTTGTTTTCATTATTAAAAAGACAGTGTTTTCTTATGCTTTTCTCTCTCTTGGAGAAAAATAGATGAACTCTAAGCTCTGTTCTTTTCTACAGCTATCAGTTATATTTACAGCATCTTTAAATTTTTTCTACAGCCTCTCCAGGGAACATTCTGATACAACAATCGTTAACACGTGGGCATAACAAAATATGTCTACATGGTCGAGGATTTCTTTACTCAGTAATTCATTGATAGTAATATTCCAAAGCAGTGGAAGGCTGCATGACCCGGAGGATCAAAAGCTTCTTTAATATCAAAGGAGACAGCTGCCACATAAAACAATTTTTTCTTTTCTTGATTATAATCAACAAAATTATATAATGCATCATTAGCAGAGTGGCCTGATAAAAATTCCATATTAACTCCTTAATGTAATTTCTAATGTCAGTACATAATGGTAAAGTCTTTTTATATACAGTCAAAAGTCTTTAATCCGGACTTGTCGGGACTTCGGCAATTCCGGATTATAGATCATCAGTTTAAATCTGGTAAGATGGCATGCAGAAATTATAAAATTAAAAGTATGAAAAACCGTAATTTTTTATAAAATAATGAGCAATTATGATCTAAAGGGTATCAAAATTTACAAAAAAAGAAGCTTAATATTTATTTGTTTACTTTATTAAACATTTCTTTCAACGTGCGCGTGCGTCATACCTTACACACAGCCAAAATTAGAAAATTGCAACCAGAAAACTATTTGATTTGTATTCGTGATATTTATAATGGCAAGGAATTTGATTCAAATCATATCAAAGACGGAGTACATCGAGATGAAATACTACATTTAGTAAGGAATTATAAGCCGAATAAAATAAAAACATCTGCCCTGAAGATAAGGATAGTGCTGACAGATCAACTTCCAGTTCATTGTGTGCCGCGATGCCCCCCCTCCCCCGCGCGCAGAGCAGCATGAAATTGATAAACAGATTTCGGAACGGTTAGATAAACAAAGGATATGGCTTTATCCATTTTTTGTTTTATGGACATCGAAACATACTTTCGTTTTCTAGATCCTTTAGGAGCTCCAGCATCGGAAATTCTATTTGACATAATCGAAAGTTCAAGCTTACTTTTATAAAATTACTCTTACAGTCTGCAAAAAATAATAAGCCGGATCCAATTCGAAGATTAAGGAACAACGCAATCATCAACATTAACTGAAATAGATAATTAGAGCTTATACCGTCCGTTATACATTAAACGCGCACGCGAAAACGTATTCTGCGCTTGCGCAAACGCATATGCGCTGTCGTAAATGTCTTGCGCGCACGCGTAAAACGCCTATGCGCAGAAAGATTTCAGCTTTGAGGTCCAGATTATAGATCATTCTGGATTATGGGTGTCCAAATTAACGACTTTTGACTGTATAATTTATCGAAAACATTTGCCAGGAACTTTAACAAACAAATTGGTTTATATTTTCCATCTTTCAGAATTAGGACTACTTCACTAATCTTCCAACGTTTAGGAGAAATATGATATTTAAAACATTTATTGTATAAAAGAACTATAAAATCGGAATAAAAATCCAACATATTTTTCATAATGGCAGCTGTAATTCCATCAGTACCTTTTGGACTCCTAGTTTTAGTTGATTAATCACCATCTGATCTCTTGTTTTGGGAATTCTATCCTAGGAGGAGAACAGTTATATTCTAATTTCACATCTCTTATATCAATCATCTCTTATATCATCATCATCATCTTTTATGCATAAAATATTATCTACCCCGGAGCTTTTTCTAAGCTCTCATCCTCTTTCTTTTTTTTTCTTTCCCCCAGTTAAGGGGTCTAAAAAATTTCCTTGCGTTTTTTCTTCTAAATTATCAGATTTTTATCTGCTTGTTTATCTCTTTGAAGACCATATTGTTGCAGACGGCTTTTCATTCAAACGACTATAACTGCCCCAAACGGCGGAAATTCTGATATAGTTTTCTTTCTTTCCCTAAGGTAAGCAGGTGTTGTCCTCACACCCAAAATGCATTGTATCAGTTTATAACAGGCAGCTTGCCCTAAAAGCATTTATTTGTGGTTTCTTATATTTTTGTTAGAAATAGAAAGGATGTCATTTGAAATATTCACTCTTCTTTGCACGTTAGTGGATGGGGAGGGGAGAAAATTGCTGTGACTCTTGAAAGCCATTTCGGTATTTTAACATACATGTTAGCAAAGGATTTGGTTTTTAAAGAGTTAATCATTATTTCTTCCAACTCCAGAGCCACATTATGCATTTCCTCTCTTCCTGTAAGTGATCTCAGCCTTTTTTCCAAACTTTGAGTATCCTTTCTTATGTTTTTACAAAAGCAATCCAGTCTGTTTTTATCTGTAGAGTATCTATAGCTCTGATACCTCTTCGGTATCTTCATTTCCTCTGAAAATATACTTATAATCATTAAAAAATTAAAGTCTAATTAAAAAAGATGCCCATTTAATTCTTCGGAGGGGGAGAAATAAATCGAAACTAATCCCTATACAGTCAAAAGTCGTTAATTCGGACACCCATAATCCGGAATGATCTATAATACGGACCTCAAAGCTACAAACTTTCTGCGCTTGCGTCGCGTTGACGCATGCGTATAGGCGTTTACGTGCGTGTGTAAGACCTTTACGGCTGCGAATATGCTTGTGCGCATGCTCATAAAACGTTTACACATGTGCGTTTAATGTATAACGGATGGTGTAAGCTAAGCTAAAATTATCTAATTCAGTTAATGTTGCAGATTGCGTTGTTCCCAAATCTTCGAATTGGATCCGGATTATTATTTTTTTGCGAATGTTAGAGCAATTTTATAAAAGTAAGCTTGACTTTCGATATAGCAATAGAATTTCCGATATATATTTGTTAATATGTAAAGCATCTAAAGTGAAAGTATGTTTCAAAATCCGAAATCTGTTTATCAATTTCACGCTGCTCGGCGGGGGGAATGCCGCGGCGCACAATTAATTGGAAGTTAATCTGTCAGCACTATCCTTATCTTCAGGGCAGATGTTTTTATTTTATTTGGCTTATAATTCCTTACCAAATGTAGTATTTCATCTCGATGTACTCCGTCTTTGATATGATTAAAAACAAGTTCCTCGTCATTATAATTCGCTTCCGATAATGAAGATATAATTCGCTTCCGATAATGAAGAAAGTGACAGAGGTTATCGAAAACGAAAAAATTTCGATTGACAAATTAGTCGGTATTCTCGACACAATTATAGGACTTGAACAGCGGAACTTTGTAACTAAACAAGAAATTATGTCTGTTTAATAGAATTAAAGAGAAAGTATTATCACATGAAACGAAGCAACTTAAACAACTTACATTGAAAGAAATGTTTAATAAAGTAAACAAATAATATTAAGCTTTTTCTTTTGTAAATTTTTGTACCCTTTAGATCATAATTGTTCTTTATTTCATAAATTACAGTTTATATTTTTAATTTTGTAATTTCTGCATGCCTCTTACCAGATTTAAAAACCGATGATCTAAAAAATCGATAATCCGGAATCACCGAAGTCCCCGACGATCGATTAAAGACTTTTGACTGTATATTGTCACCCAATTTAATGAAACAGCCACCATCATATCTTCAATCCAATCAGCTTAAGTTAAAATCTTCTTTAAAGAATGATTGCAGTCCTGCAACTTCTGTGTGACGGCCAGGTCCCTGAACCCAGTTTTTTTCCGTTGACACATAGGTTTTGAATGAGGGCCATGGTTTGTACTATAAAAATATATCAATACGATAAAGTGGAAAAACAAACAAACAAAAAAAAAAAAAAAAAAAAAAAAAAAAAAAAAAAAAAAAAACAGGTCAAATATTAGCCCGGCATGGAATATTAAATTATATTTCCATGTTCAAGTGATTAATTATAAATTTAACTTCTCTTTTATGTGTTTCATAAAATTTTGAGAGTGCATTGTGGTTTATATCATAATTGGTTTTAAATTTTTCATTTGAATTGTTATGGTTAATGCAAACTACACTTTTAATGTTATTTTCATGTGCTGCAGAACAGTTTGCATATGTGATTTTAGTTCTGCATGTCTTAGATGTTTAGCAAACTTCAAGCATTTAAAACAATGCTTTAGTTGTAAGTGTAAGTTGGCTGTGTAGGCTTTCCAACCTGCATACACACTGTTATCTTCTAAAATTTCAGACTGACATGTAGTGCTTATGTGGAATATTCGGTGGCTGGTCCCCCCTTATCTCTACTTTTTATTTTAAACAATGTTCTTATGCAGTCCCCGGAGCATCCACAATCCTCAATAAGGTCACCTCCACAAGGTCACCTAATGTGGAAAATCAAGCAGTCATATGTGAATGCCTGTGTGTTTCTGTAACTGCTTTTTAAATGTTAACTATTTTGAAAGTATTTTATTTATTTTTGATCAGTTTGTTGGATTTATTTTTGATTCATTTTAAGTTAAATTTGTTTTCCTGATTAATGTATGTTCTATTCTAACTTATATGATGAGATAAAAAATAAAACTAAATTAATTTGTGGTTATATAAACTGTACTGAAATATAACTTCAGTTATTATTTAATACTGTTAAATATGTTTTAATAGCTGTAAAACTGTGGTATAATAAATACCAGTTAATGCTTTAAAAAATGACTATTCTTAACTCAGTGCCACTCAAGCTGAAGGCAGTTAATCATGACAGTCTTTATCATGAAGAGACATACATATTTGCACTATATGTATGTCTCTTTGTGTGTGTTTTTCATGGCATTTTAAAGACTGTACAACTTTTAGGATTCAGTAATAAGATTACTTGACTGGAAATCTTTCATGTGTATCCTAAAAATACTGATTTTAATTAAGATTTATTTTAGTTGCAGGAAAACACAAGCAGTATTAGATAATTGCATGGCTGAAAAATTGAATATTGAAAGACCACCATTTGGATATTTTACTGAAATACGACCTCATAAAACAGAGCGTCCTAGACCTGGACCTCCACTTCCTCGTAAAGAATATATAGATGATAGGCCTTCACTTCCTGATGATTATCCTAGGGAAGATGCAAAATATGGTTCTGCTTTTTTTATGTTCAACTAATTAATTGTATTAGATGTCAGTCATTTGTTTTCAATAATATGTAATGAAAAGTTGAACATTTTTGTAGTAAGCTATATAAAAATTTAAATTAAATTGCTATATCTCTTTATTTGTTCATTGAATAATTTTGATCACATTTTCTTGAAGTAGCATACTCCGCACATTCAAATCCACCTCTGATGTGAATGGTCACAGCCAGTAACCAATCAAGTTTTGTTTGTATTACATACAAATTTTTCTGCAGTAACATCTTCAGTTTTAGTACAATATATGGGCCTAATAGTAAAATGTTATCTACAAGAAAACGTGTGCCTCAGATTGGAATTGGTGGCATTTACGACATTTCTGATTATCTGTTTTAGAGTCTTGTAAGAGAATTAGAGCATTGTTGAATCATTTTTTCTCCAAGGTAATTTATTAAAAATTTAACATACTTTTGTTTTTATAATGTGTTTACAAATAAATAAATAAATTAAAATTTAAAAAAATGATTATTTTGCAATGATAAAGAATGGCATTTGTCAAAAAGTTTACGAAGAGTTCAGGTTTATATCCAAAATTTTTGCATTCAGAATTTACTTTTTTTCCCTTTCCTTCTTTTAGACAAAGTCAACCTCCCCCTTTTTTTTTAAATGTAAATTCTTTGATATGTTGCATTTATTTTAAATTCTTTTATTTATAAGAGAAGTGTAGTGTTTGGGTTCCAATGAACTGGCAAAAGGTTTGTATTGCTGCAATTCCAAAATACTGTGAAATACAGTGGAGCACCATGCATACATCTTTAACATTTATATGTCATTTAATCTTGGTCCCAATTCAGTCCTATTTTTTTTTTTTTTTTTTTTTTTTTAATAAAATATTTCTTTTATACGTCACTTTTGGTTAACTTAACCGCATTGGTTTTACATTTTGTAGTCCCACCATTCAAGTATTTTTCACAGAAGTGGCTATAGGAGAAGGAAACAAAGGCATCTCACAATCTAATACAGAAATTTAAAACCAGTTAATGAATAGAGGGGACACTTAAAATCAAAAATAGATACTTTTTTTTTTTTTTTTTTTTTTTTTTTTTTTTTTTTTGTTTTTTTCTTTTTTTTTTTTTTTTTTTTTTTTTTTTTTTTTTTTTTTTTTTTTTTTTTTTTTTTTTTTTTTTTTTTTTTTTTTTTTTTTTTTTTTTTTTTTTGTTTTTTTTTTTTTTTTTTTTTTTTTTTTCTTTTTTTTTTTTTTTTTTTTTTTTTTTTTTTTTCCCTGAACAAAATGATGTGTTAAATAAACTAGGTAGAGCTGAATAAACTGATACAAAATATAATGAATGCGAAATGCAATATAAAATAAAAAATCTTAAATAAGATGAAAAAGATCATTAAAAAGAAAAAATATCATTAAAAGATAAAATTCAGATCCTATAAGAGTTTGAAGAGAATACTCGTTTGACAAAAGTTAAGGAAACAAAGAAACTGGCTATTTCTGTGACAACACTAAAAATGGTTGGTTATAATTGAAAGGTGTTGAAGAAAGAGCAGAAATTTGTGGACATTCGGCTTCAAAGAAATTACGTGTTCAAGATGGAAACTTTTCTGAGGTCGAAGTCATTTTGATAAAATCTTTCTTTCACTGTCTCCAGTGAATGTCCCCATGTTAATCTAGCAATCAGGTAAATAGATAATTTTAGGTAAAAGAAATAGCATTTTGATTAAATGTGAAGGAAGCATCCTTTTCAGCTGAATGACTATGTAAATTTAAACTGTGGCTTGGATTCTCATGTCACATAATAAATGGGGAATCAAAAAGCGTTCATGATGAGTCGGTTGAAGAGTGATTCAAGAATGTATCCACCAAAATTGATTCATATGAATTAAAAGACATTTTTCATATTGATGAAACTGCTCATTCCTTTAAACTTTAGCCTGCAAAAGCAAGTTCGGGAATATCTCACTGTTTTATTTTGTACAAATTCTGATGAGAATTTGAAAAAAAAAAAAAGACTCCTTTAGTTATAAGAAAGCCACAAAAACTGAAGTGCTTCAAACATGTTAAAACTTAGACATTAGAAGATAAATGAAAAAGCATGGATGATTATGAACATTTTTACAGAATGGCTCAAGAAAATGGACAAAACTACAAAAAGATAAAAATCTGCAAAATTTTACTTTTTATGGATCAGTGTACCACCCAACCTCAAACATCAGGTTTCTTGCAAACTGTGAAAGTTTTTTTTCTTCCCGGCAAATTGCACTACTGTAGTACTACTTTTGGATCAGGGTGTCTTTGAAAATGTTCTGCAAGCAAAGGTTAACTCAAATAGGCCTTCAAAATATAACTATAGGAGATATGCAGAAAAAATAAAATGTTGAAGTAATGAATATGATTTTGTTTGCCTGGATACAAACCACAAACAATTAAAAATTGTAACATTAAAGGAAGTTTTCAACCCTGAGTCAGGTCAAAATGTTGGTGATGAAACTGTGATTATGGATGAAGAAGACTGGAGACTACTGGGATTAAACATTACAATCAAAGAATATGTAAACTGTGATGCCATTGTAATGACAAACTAATTGAAAGCGTTTTATCAGGTAAACATTTAAGTAATGATGAAGAATAAAATGGAGAAATAATCCCACCTTCTTTTCAAAATGCTATCTATTGCACTCACAGCCTCAGAAATTTATTATGTATGAAAGCAAGAAAACATTCAAAGAATTGAATTCGATTCAGAACATTTTGTTGAGGTTTCAGAATAGAACAATTAAGGACTTTTTTTTTTTTTTTTTTTTTTTTAAGTTTAAATTTGCTTTTAAATGTTCTTGGGGGAAATGTTTATTCAAAACAGAAATTTGCTTTTAAATGTTCTTGGGAAAAATGTTGCTTATTCAAAATAGTAATTTAAATGAAGCTATGACTTTTTTTCACTTTTGCATAATTACATACAAAAATTTACCATCTTATGATTTTAAAAATATTAATTTTGTATTGATATCATTGTAAAATATTCATTATAAAAACAATTATATATTGTAAAAATATTCATTATATAAGTGTCTAAAATGATAAATATTAATTAAATATTTATTTAAACATTAAATTTCTTTCTACATAGTAAATATTTTAAGCAAATTCAAAGTACAATAATAAAACTGTGTAATGCCAGTAATATGTTAGTAGTATCAAACTGTGAAGCTAATATGTGTGTTTCACATCAGAAATAAAAATTTCATTTATGCATTGCTTGTGAATGGTTCCTTGAAAGACATATAAACGGTATTTATATTAACATTTATAGCATCACTATTAATTATTTTTACCTGATTAATTTCCTGTGTGATGGATGTTCTTCAGGAAGTTTTAAAAAACATTTCCAGAATTTATCTTTGATGGGTTATGTTCAGGTATCCATGTGCGTGAAATGTTCAGGTATCCATGTGAGTGAAACCTGATGTTTGTAGTCTACATGTCATTATTCATAGCAAAAAATTGATAAAATTTTTATAGTATTATCAGAGCCTGGACAAGGGTAAATCACTTGCCTCAGATGAGCAGTTAAGAGGGACTCCAAATTAGCTGTGAAATTTTAAGAAGTAAATTATGATTATTAACTTTCCGTTTTTGTTCATATGGATAAGCACCATTTTGAAGTAGCACATTTTAAGAAATAAAAAAGGTGCTATATTCTTAAACACTTGGTGGCACAAAAATTCCAAGCTTAATAGAGGGGTTGAACTAATATGGAATCCCAACAAATGGATTGGCTGTATGAAACATTTTGTGGTTTCCTCCATGTGTAACATAAATAGTATGACCCATTTCCCTAGAAAGTCCTCCAAGAAGGAATCTCTTTACTTACATGCTTGCTTGGTTTGTAAAATTAAACAAGCATAATACAAGGAATATCTCTTTTGATAAAAGAACTAATTTTGTCAGAAAAAATATTTTTTCATTGTAGAAATGAGAGAGATTTAAATTTCAGAACTAAAATGGAGATTTAAAAAAAAATAAACACCAGGATAACTTCCGATTTCCAGTTTCTCACCAATGAAAAATTATTGTCATTATATTTGAGTATTTTGAAAATGAGCAGCTTAACATTTAAATACCAAAATGATGAAACTGATTTAGATAGTTCATTAGAAATATGTAGTTTTAAAACCCATGCTTTTTTGATTATTCTGATAGCCAAAGCAAAAGCAGGTCCTTTAATTCAGGAATGCAATCTTAGTTCAATCATATCTGAAACTGGAAAATTGTGTTAAGAATATTTTTAATAATGCCAGTTACTATGTTAGAGTGAAAAAAGCTTCAAAGAATTTTAAACTATTTCTCCCTTACCCTAAAAAACGTTCAAATATCACTCTGTAGAAGATAAATTAAATAATGAAGTAGGTTTTAAAAATAATTATTGATTTTATTTCATTAAAAGTAAGAAATTTAAAAAAGATAAAAGAGCTTGATTATTAATGTAATACTTTTTATATTAATTATAGAACTATTTACATTGTTTAAATGTTATTTTCTATTTATGAAAATAATTTTTAATGTTTTTATTTGTAAATGCTAACAATATACATCTATTCATTTTCTGAACACATAGTGTGATATTTTCTGAACAAAATATTACACAAAGTATAGTAAGATTTTGTATAGTTATCTTTACTGAATATAGACATGTGCAGACATAATTAGTTTGATTCGCCTATAAGGACCACATGTTTACTTGTCCTCAGGGGAAAAATTATCTAGGCTCGGCTCTGGGTATTATTGTAATGAATTAGCCCTCAATGGAGTTTTTTTCCCTTCGTCTTGTGTGTTGTGACTTGTCTGACAGCAACGTCAGAACACTCTTATGAAATTCATTGTGCCAGTCATTGACAAGAGCCTTGAGCACCATACAGCTTTGACAGGTGAGAGTACAAGTATATAGACCCCAAACCTCACTTTTGCTCATTGTCATAAATCGATCCTTTGATCAATTCTTCTTTGTCGGTTCGTTTTCCATCCACTTAAGAATGTTATTAGTCAACTCTATTTGCAGGAAATAAACTGGGACACTTATGCAGGTTTAAGAATAACATGAGCTATATTTTTCATTTTGTAAATACACATTAACTTTTCACAAAGTATTGCTTTTATTCACATTTACATCAAACGCACAAGTAATACATTGCATCTCTCAGTTCTTAACAAAAAAAAAAAAAAAAAAGACAAACTCTACTCTCGGAATACAGCCAAACTAATTTCAAATTTTTTCTCACGAGCATGCCGTCCTTCTCGCATCAAGCACGTTTCTTCTTCTCGTTGCCAGATATTTTTCCCTCTCCTTTCAGATAAACTGTTTTTTTCACAAGAGCATGCCGTCCTCGCATCAAGCACGCTTCTTCTTCTCGTTGCCAGATTTTCTCCTCTCTCCTTTCAGCTATAAGTCGTTGGTTTAACTTTTCTTCCGGCAGGCTTGGTCGGTAGCATCCCCTTATCGAGTATGTGCATGACACGCCCCTGCCAAGAATGAAATTTGTCCTTTCTTTGGGACGTATTTCATTAATCAATATCCAAGCATATTTTCTGTACATTACTTTTACACAATACCAACTTCATACAGTATTAAATAAAACAAAACAGAACAAGCAATAAATTATTACAATCATACAAATAAACAAAGAAACAAAACAAATTATATTAATCATATCATATTTGATTCAGACGTGAGAGTGCATCTGCACTTTGGTGCTGGATCCCTGGCCTATGACTAATCCGCAAGTTCCATTTCTGCAATGCCAGAGCCCACCTCGTCAATTTGGGACTTCGAGGAGTAGTTTCATTCAAATATCTGAGAGGGTTGTGATCCGTTATAATTTCTACCTGAGCCCCATAGATCCATTTATCAAATTTATTCAGGCCAAATAAGACTGCCCAAGCTTCCTTCTCAATGCTTGCCCAATTTCTCTGAGTTTGAGAAAGCTTTTGACTTGCAAATGCAATAGGACAATAGTTACCACTCTCGTCTCTATCTGGGTTAAACAGCAACCTACCGCCAAATTGGATGCATCACAATGGATCTGAAATGGCTTTCCAATATATTTGGTGTGGCCAGAGATGTCACTTGGCACAAAGTATCCTTTAATTTGTTAAAAGCATTCTGTTCCAACTCCCCCCCCCCATAGAACAATATTGGCATTGCCTCTTCTTCGTCAACTCTGTCAATGGTGCCGATATTTCTGCATAACTTGGGAATATAAGATCGATAAAATCCCATTAATCCTAAAACCGATCTCACATCTTTTTTTGTGACTGGCCTGACGAGTTTTCTAATAATGCTTTGACCCTTTCTTCATCAGGACCATGCTTGCCTCCTCCAATTATATGCCCCAAATATTTGATTTTTTTAGCTGCAAAAGTACATTTGTCCAAACGTACAGAAAATCCTAATTTTTCTAAAGTTTCCAGAACCAGAGAAATGTGTTTCAAGTGTTCCTCAAATGTTTTCGAGAAAATCACCACATCATCTATATATGCCTGAGCATAATCACTATGCAAAAGCACAATTCATTTCCTTCTGGAATGTCCCCGAGGCTCCTGATAAGCCGAAAGGCATTGTTCTCCACTGGTACACTCCATTACACGTTGCAAATGCAGTCAAAGGTTTGCTCTTTTCATCCATTCGGATTTGCCAATACCCTTTTCGAAGGTCGATGCTTGTCAGCCAGTTTGCTGCACCCGCCACAAAAATCAATTCCTGCATGTCTTTCATGGGAAATGTTGGGAGTTTTCGTTACAGCATTCAATGATCTAAAATCTATACACATTCTAACTGTAGCATCTTTTTTCGCCACACAAACTATAGGATGAGCAATTTCTGACTCAGAAGGTTCAATTAATCCTAATTCTAGCAACTCACGTATCTGCTCATCTACTGCTTTGCGGTATGCCATGGGTATTCCATAGCAGTGTGGTTTCTTCCTAATAGCAGTAGGAATAAGTTCGATCTTGTGTGTACCTACTCGTGCTGGTTGCACTGGACGTGTAAATAATGTTTGATATTTCCTCAGTAGCCCTAAAAGTTTACTCCTCTGGGCTGAATCTAAATTAGACATTTCTAATCCTTCCAGAGATTCAGAAAAAACTGTTTTCTGCCTTGTTGACAGGTATAGATTCAATTTCCCCAAACTCTTCTTCCCCTTCAAAGATAACATTTACTGCTTGGGATCTGACTAAATAAGGTCTAATCTTATTCTGATGGAACATGTTTTTGGTCCCATCGGGCATTTGTACTACAAATGAGTGAAAACTTCTCTGTTCCAATATATTTGCAGGACCCTGCCACCTAGCATAAAGCTTGTTATTAGAATCGGGAATCAAGACTATCACCTTATCTCCCACCTTAAATGTTTTTTATGGTAGACCTTAAATTATGATAGTGTGCTGTCCTCTCTTGTTGAATTTTAGCTGTGAGCTTTGCCTGCTCCGCTGCCTTCTCAAACCTAGCCTTTAGATTTTGTAAATATGTATAAACAGGAGTTGCATCTAATTGTAAATTTTCATGTTTCCCTGTCCATGATGATTTTAATATCGACAGAGGTCCCTGAGGTGTCCTGCCGTACATGAGTTGAAATGGAGCCACCCCAGTTGTTGAGTTGGGTACTTCTCTATAGGCCCACAATACATAAGGAATTTGCAAATGCCACCCTCTACCTTCTTCTCTGATGACATGATGCAACATTCTTTTTAAAGTACCATTAAACCCGTTCAACTAATCCATTAGCTTGAGGATATCCAGGGGTCGAAAACTTAGGACTGGCCCCTATTCGTCTCTCAAATTCTTGAGTCAAATCTGCTTTAAAATTTGTTCCATTGTCACATGCAATTACATTTGGAATACCCGTTCTTGAAAAAATATGTAATAACTCCTCACAAGTCGACTTGGCGGAGAGGCTAGTTAGAGGTATTGCTTCTGCCCATCTGGTATGCTGATCAACTAAGCATAATATATACTTATGACCCTTAGAACTGGGAGGATCAATCGGACCTATCACATCAATGTTTACAATTTGGAAGGGCAGATCTGGCCTCGTTACTGGGGTGATTGGTGTCCTATCAACAGTTTTAATTGGTCTAGTCAACTGGCACTCTTTACATGCCTCGCAAAATTTCTGAACGTCTAACCTCAGACCTTCCCAATAAAAAGAGTATCTAATTCTCTCCACAGTTTTCTTTACCCCATGTGGCCACTAAACACCGAGCAATGTGCTAACTGCAAGACTTCCTCCCTTCGACTCTTAGGTACAACTAATTGCCCCACACTTTCCCCAAGAATTTTGTCCTTATGAAAGAGAAAGTTATCCACTGTATAATAATTCCCCTTTCCTTTCTGAGCATTCTCCCATGCTCCTACCAGAGATTCACAAGTCTCCTGCTCTCTTCTAAATACATCCGCTGTACATAGTCTTCCTGGCTGAGGTTCTTGGCTTTCACTTGATTCCACCTTCCCTTTCTCATTGAGATTCCTTCCCATACTAGCGTTTCCTTCTAGTTTCCCTGTGTTTACCTTCACAGACTTTTCCTTTCTGCTAACCTCTGGGATGTTTGTGGTTTCTTCAGGTAAGTTTTCCACCCCTTCACCTGTGTCATATAACCGACCTCCTAACATGGTGAATACTTCCGGAGGAAGCAACACATCCTCTGCCAGCGATTCTGCAACTGCACACAAAATCTCTTGATGTGTAACACTTGGCACTTTCTCCTACAGTAATACTCAGTGGAATGCTTACCAAAGGGCATTTAACAGCTGGACCAAATATACCTACCTTTCAAATATACTCGATCCTTCCTTCAGTTGGAGACTTTTGGTTAACTCTTTCTTAACCACCGTAATTTCTGTTCCTGAATCAACGAGGGCCTTCCCTATTGTTCCATTCACACTAATAGGAACCCTTTTCAACTCACACAGCTTATAGTCGTTTACATCCCCTGACTTCCTCAAAGGATCCACACGAGATACCACAACTTTGTGCTCTAGGATATCATTATCCTGATCTTTCTTTACCCAGTTTACCCTGGCTTTATCCTTTTCCTCATTTCTGTTAAACTGCCTAGAACCTTTAATCTGAGGACAGTACCTTTTAAAATGTGAAGCTGAACCACATACAAAGCATGTTAAACCTCTAACGCTCCCTGTGGTTTTTCCCTATGGTTTCTGACGTATGCCGACTGCCTTGTCTTTCTTCGACCTTAGGTTTCTCACCTACTGCCTGATTTAAAATCTTAGTTTCACAAGCTTCCCTACGTACGTTGTAGGACTTCCCTTTAGCGGCAAAGAATATGTCACACTCCTTTCCAAGCTCTCTTGGCTTGAACCACGAGTCTCCCTGCCTTATACCTATGTGTACTGCAGTTTCCGTATCAAGGGTCTGGTAGATTTTGTCCGCTACCACCAACTGATTAAGACCTTCAAAGTCTGTCACCCCCCTTGATTTCACATAATTTCCCCACATGGCAGTAACTCTAGTAGAAAACTGGCCAAAGGTCTCTTCTGAACTTCGTCTTGCCTTTCTGAAATTCTCCAGGCATACCTGAGGTGAAGGTTTAAATTCTTTCAACACAGTTTCCTTTATTTCCTCATAATTCCCATACTTATCCTCGCTTATCAATGTTAATAAATTTGCCGCTTTATGTCCCGAAAGGTAAATCAAAATTTTGGCTAGCTAATCACGGACTTTGATGTCCCAGCTGCACTTGAAGCGTCGATTTTTTTTTTTGTTTTCCTCCCTTTGAAACTTAAGATTTCTTTATCTCCATCCTTTCCCGTCATGAAACTCCTTAATTTTACGAACTTAAAATAATTTCGTGTTTCAATAAAATCGATTAAATACGAATTTATTTAACAAAGGGAGCTTAACATTTTCTCAATGGGATTTTTTCTAAAGAAGTTTATTTTTAAAAATGTACAGTTTGTTTTTCTTTGATTTTTGGACACGTTAAACTTTCATCCTTGCGAATGCTTTCACAAAAAGAATTTTGGAAAAATGATAATATTTTGTATTTTTTTTAAAAAAATTTAAATGAAGCTTCCGAGTACACTTCTCACATCTGTGATTTTGGCAGCAATTTTCCTGTCTTATTGTTGTTGATAGACTTTTGATGAAATCGCATCATTTTGAATAGTTTCATTCTTTTAGAAATATGGGTTTAGCAACAATTTTTCATCATATTTCTTATGTCACTGTTTTTAAGAGATTGGCATATTTCATTGTCATTTTTATATAAATATAATACATTTTTATTGATTTTTTTGATAAAGTTGTTTCTGCAGAGTAAAATTCTGCGCGGAATTTTATGTTTTTTGAGTTGCTTTCATGTTATATTTTGCTTATTTCACTGTTTATAAGATATTGAAAAGTTTTGCATGATTTTTTTTCTTCAACGGAAAGTTGGCTAATTTTTTAATTAGGATAATTAATATTTGTATTAAGAGATATAGCTTATTTCATTGTAATTTTTTTCCCTTGAAAATATAAGATAAAATATCATTAATTATTCTTTGCTTTTCAGAATTTTTTGTTTTTTGCATTCCTTTATTTTATTTATTACTCATTTTACTGTTTTTAAGATATTGAAAAGTTTTGGCTAAATCGCAGAATAGGCTGCATCAGTCGATGCTGTGTTTACTTCTCTTATGCTTGGACACGCCTTTTTATGACGTAATATTGGTTACGCCTCTCCTTAAAAACAAGTTATAAGTATGCTATAGCTTCGTATTTAAAGAAAACTTAAATGAAGTTTTAACTGAGTTGAAATGGTAGGTTTATAATGTTCTGCGCGAGATTTTTTTAATTATAAATCAACTTTTGTGTAGTGTGTGGTAGTGTTAGCATTTAACGCAACGAATTATCTCTGACAAATGTATTATTAAGATACCAAACGATTGAAAAAGATCATTACCAAACGATTGAAAATATTGAATACATGAGTTAAAAATTATAACCGTAACTTCTGAAAATACAAAAAAGAATTCTTTTGCTTAAAGAAAGTTTTGATTATTGATGAGTGTGCCAAAATCGGTGCTTATTGCAGAATGGATGAGTATCTGAATCTGGATTTTTTTAATCAGTTGGAGCGAAGAGGCAAAAAGAGCGTTACTGAGTGGTGCATGGAGAAAAGTTTGATTGCAATATCGTATAAGTACCCAATTTGTGTAACAAATATGAAACTAGTAGAGAGACGGTTTTGAGTCGTAGAGACGCTTTTGAGTGGTGAGCAATGCCGAGTTTGTGCAATTCTGGGATTTTTTTTTTAAAGTGAAAATAGATCGATGTGCACATGGGCAAAGCTAGTGTGGTGCGCAATGCCGAGTTTGTGCAATTCTGGGATTTTTTTAAGTGAAAATAGATCGATGTGCACATGGGCAAAGCCAATGTGGTGCGCAATGCCGAGTTGTGCGCGATGCCGTGTTTGTGCAATTCTGGGATGTTTTTTTAAGTGAAAATAGATCGATGTGCACATGGGCAAGCCAATGTGGTGCGCAATGCTGAGGTTGTGCAATTCTGGGTTGTTTTTTTTAAGTGAAAATACATCGATGTGCACATGGGCGGGCAAAGCCAATGTGGTGCGCGATGCCGAGTTTGTGCAATTCTGGGATGTTTTTTTAAGTGAAAATAGATCAATGTGCACATGGGCAAAGCCAATGCTGTGCGCGATGCCGAGTTTGTGCAGTTCTGGAATTTTTTTCAAGTGAAAATAGATCGATGTACACATGGGCTAAGCCAGAGTGGTGCGAAATGCCGAGTTTGTGCGCGATGCCGAGTTTGTGCAATTCTGGGATGTTTTTTTAAGTGAAAATAGATCGATGTGCACATGGGCAAAGCCAGTGTGGTGCGCAATGCCGAGTTTGTGCAATTCTGGGATTTTTTAAGTGAAAATAGATCGATGTGTACATGGGCAAAGCCAATGTGGTGCGCAATGCCGAGGTTGTGCGCGATGCCAAGTTTATGCAACTCTGGGATGGTTTTTTAAGTGAAAATAGATCGATGTGCACATGGTCAAAGTCAATGTGGTGCGCACTGCCGAGTTTGAGCAATTCTCTAATATTTCTTTAAGTGAAAATAGATGGATGAGCACATGGACACCGAGTTTGTGGAATTCTTTGATGTTTTTCGAGCGAATAGTGATCGTTGTGTAGAAGAGAAAACGAGGTTGTGTGTGATGCCGAGCAGTAATGTAACTTTATTTATGTGCAATGTTTAACATATCGTTAGTGTATTTTAAATTTGTATTGTTGTTTTAATTGTGAATTATATTTAAGACGTCATTTTTCATTTAAATTGTATTTTTAATTTTTTGGCTTTGATACGTTTATAACGCTTTCCGACTTACGACATATATCGATAGTCCGACGATCTACTCAACAGTAGCAAAACTGTAAACTTTAACCCTTGAAGTAACGTTTACCTCATATTTTAATACGTAGTGTTTGGTATCGTAATTGCACTTGATAATATGAGTTCATTGATAATATGTGTATTTGTGCGTATGTGAAGCATTGCTTAGTGTTCCAAGTTTGTAGTATTTATTTTATTATATTATTTTCTTTCATTCTGAGAAATTAGATTTTTTTATTTATTAATGCGTAGAATTCTAGCATGCCTACACAGAATATGGCGTGATTTAGGAATTTTAGAAACTGATATGAAAGCTGTGTAATGATGTTCATATGCAATAAAAAAT